AGGGTAACTACATAGATATATACACTAGATATCGCATAGGGACCCTGAGCATGCGTCAATAGCGCCGCCACATTGGTACAGTGCTCCCAGGACAAATGTCATTCAACCGCACTAGTCAAGACAGTGTTATTACGTGAAGATGCGGGACTTTAGCGCTGTCTACGGGTGTAGTAACGAGCAAACAAAGAAAACAAAGCACAAAGGCAGAACATTCCATAGGTAATATTAAGTTTTTTCCTGTTTTTGTATGCTATGAACTTTTATGCTAATCAGGTAACGTTATTGATGATAACAGTCACTTACTGCATTCACCATACGGCAAAGCAGCTCCAACTCGCACTTAACACTCGGCTTATGCTAGTTTTGTTGATTAAATCAGCAAACAATGCAAAAGAAATATGACAACGAGATGCTGCGCTGTCAGAAACTTGTATTATTGTCGGCTATCTTTAGTGAAAGAGTCGTTCGGGGGATTCATTCACAAACGAATCGCTCCCTCTGTCAGTATGAGAAGTGAAAGCAGTTGAGGACCTGTGTATCAGGACACGGATTAGATTAAATTTAACAGGGAGGGTGAATAGCACATTTCTGTACACACAAACACAAGCTTTTTGTCAGGAATGCCCGTGCGGTCACTGATCCATCAATGTAGAAAAGTGATGTAAAATTATAATTTTCGTAATTAGAAAAAAAAATTACATACTAACATCCAGGAAAACTACCGATCATAGATATATGTGTATATGTGTATATCTCTGGCTTTGCATGGCCACAGTCCTCCACTGTACCTTGGTCCCGCATTCATTTCAAAGGAGCGCTACCCTGTAGCAAGATGGCGGCGCTATTGACGCATTCCGTCCAATAGACAACAATAGGCCAGGCGACATCTAGTGTATACATCTATGGGGTAACTATAGATGAACAACAGAGAATTTAAACTTGTTCTTTAACACAATATACTGGTAGATTTAAGACTTTTCAAGGCCTAAAATGTAGCTTTTGAGATTTTACTCATTTTAAGACTTTTTAAGACCCCGCAGATACCCTGAAATAAGATGTGAAGAGTGGTGGGTCGTGAGGACCAGGATTGAGAACACTTGTGTACAATACTACACTGTGAAGGAAACCTATTAGAGAGTTAGACAGACAATCCTTACTTCACAGGCTTGACGTTATTACAGAAAAAGAAATACTCAACCTCTAAGCAAGCTGTTAGTTAAACTGGAAAAAGTTTGAGATGGTGCAACTGGTTCGTTAAAGCAGTCACATGCGAATCAGTTGAGAATCACACTTTGCTGGAGTTTTACTCACAGTGTTTGATTGAAAAGAGGGATTTTGGATGAGGGTATGGGGAGAGGAGGAGGACTCAGGTCACTGAACAGCAGAACGCTCGCTTACCCACTTTCACTAAAGCAGAGAGTAAACATTCAACCTTAAAATATGTATGTGCTTAAAGTTTAAAAGACAGAGTCTGGGAGCTTCTATTACACAACTATGCAGTTTCTAGGACTTTAAAAGGGGATTTCATATTGGCTTCAATTGGTCCCTTGGTATTGCTACTATATTTTGTTGGTGAAAGTGTTTATCTCAATTTCCATGGAGCAAGAGTACACATGATTGCCAATTTCATGACTTTGCATCCCACAGCTCTCAAAAGGTTTACCTGCGCCTTAATTTACCCATAATGATCTGGTGTGTGTCATCAGATTCGCAGAGGATTAGCAGGGCTTATGTAAGAGCCGCAAGCGTTAATCCACTCTCTGTGCTTTCAGCTGAGAACGCATCTCTTTTACATGCAATGTCAAACGCTACAAATCTGAGAGATGATCATTAAAATCATACATCTGGAACATAACATGCCATTACATACTTACACAGAATGTGATCTATTAATATACAGTAGAAGACAACATTATTCACCTAATTGTAAAAATATAACTATAAGATGTAAATTGGCGCACAGTTCAGTAAATCCAGGAAACTAATGAATAAATTGCACGCAAAATTTACTAAATCAAAGGAACAAATTAATTAATTGTGTACACATTTTAGAAAAGCAAAGAAACAAATTAATAAATCATGAACACAATTTAGTAAATCAAGGGAACTATTATTAAATTGCGCACACATTATAATATAACGAAGGATTGAAATAATAAATTGTTCAAATTATTTAGTAAACCGAGGAAACTAATTAAGAGTGCACAATTCAGTACATTTAGGGAACGAATGAATAAATCATGTGAACAACAGTTAATAGAGAACAAATTAATGAAGTGTGCACACAATTCTGTAAATTGTAGGAATGAATTAACAAATTGTGTGCACAATTTAGTGAATTAAAGGAATGGGTTAAATTGAGTGCACAACTTAGTAAATCGAAATAACAATTTAATATATGGTGAACACAATTTAGTAAATCAAGGGCACTAATAAATAAATTATGTGCACAATTTAGTAAATCGAAGGAATAAATTAATAAATTGTGCGAACAGTTTAATAAATCAAAGGAACGAATTAATAAAATGTGGACAATTTAGTAAATTGGGGAAACTATTTTTAAATCGCACGCACAATTTAGTAAATCAGGGGAACTATTAGTAAACTGCACAAACAATTTAGTAAATCGAATAAACAAATTAATAAATTTTGCAAACAATCTAGAAAATTGAGGAAATTAATAAATTGTGCAAACAGCTTAGTAAATCGAGGGAACGATTTTGAAATGAAATTGTGCACAGTTTAGTAAATTGAAGGAATAAATTACATTGTGCACACAATTTAGTAAATCAAGAGAACAAATTAATAGATCACACGCACAATTTAGTAAATCAGGGGAACTATTTTTAAATTGCACAAACAATTCAGTAAATCAGGGCAACTATTTTTAAATTGCACGCACAATTTTGTAAACTGTAGGAACGAATCAAAAAAATGTGCACACAGTTTAGTAAATCGAAGGAATAAATTACATTGCGCACAGAATTTAGTAAATCCAAGGGAACAAATGAATAGATCGCACGCACAATTTAGTAAATCGAGAGAACTAACTAATAAAACACAAGCAGAATCTAGCAAATCGAATGAACAAATTATTAATACGTGCCTGCAATTTAGTAATTTGAAGGAACGAATAAACAAATCGCGTGCACAATTTAGTAAATTGAAGAAATACATTGCATTGTGCACACAATTTAGTAAATCGAGGGAAAAAGTTAATATGCGCAATTTAGTAAGTTGAGAGAACAAATTAATAAATGACACGCACTATTTAGTAAATCAAAGGGATGATTGAACAAATCCTGTTCACCATTTTGCAAATCCATTAAACAAATTAATAAATCCTGTCTTCAATTTAGTGAATTAAAGGAACAAATGAACAAATCGTGCGCACAATTTAGTAAATTAAAGGAATGAATGAACAAATTGTGCACACAATTTAGTAAATTGAAGGAAAGAATGAACAGATCTTGCGCACAATTTAGTAAATAGAGGAAACTAACAAATAAATGCACAAAATTTAGTAAATAGAGTAAACAAGTTAATAAATTCTGCGAACAATTTAGTAAATCTAAATTAATAAATTAATGTGCACACAATTTAGTAAATTAAATGGATGAATGAACAAATTGTGCACACAATTTAGTGAATCGAAAGAACGAATTACATTGCGCACACAATTGAGTAAATCTAGAAAATTAAAAGATCACGTGCACAATTTAGTAAATCAAGGGAACTAATGTATAAATCATGCACAAAATTTAATAAATCGGAAGAACAAAGTAATCAATTGTGCAAACAATTCAGTAAATTTAACCAACAAATGAACCAATAGTGTACAAAATTTAGTAAATAAAAGGATTATATTAAATTGTCTGCACAACTTATAGTAAATGGTGCACAGTCATTTATTAATTTTCCTTCAGCTTAATCACTTTAGTAAATTGAAAGAATGAAGGAACAAATTGTGCGCACAATTTAGTAAATTGAGGGAACTAATTAATAAAGCGCACAATTTAGTAAATTAAATGCTGGTAGCTGGCACCCATTTACTTCCATAGCAGATTTTCCCATACTATAGAAGTCAATGGGTGCCGGCAACAAGCACTCTTCAAAATATCTGAAGCAAAACAGAAGAAAGAACCTATAAAGATTTAAAACTACATGATGGAGAGTGAATAAGGAGGCCATTTTTATTTTGGGTGAACTATCCTCCAAATCATCAAATGACACACGTTTTAAATAAGCCTGGTGTACATATTTTGGGCTTTAAAAAATACAATTTTAGAAGTTGTCTTTAGTGAACGTTAGTAAAACTGCATCATCATTCCTATTTATAGAAAAAGAAATTATAAATAATAACACAATTAAACAGGATCTTATGTATAGGGCAAAACTAAAGCTCTTCTTTTTTGTATCTTTGACCCATAAACACGTAGTTAAGTGGTCTCAATCACCTAGCAGCAGTATGGGTCAAAGTTTACTCTTTAACAGCAGCTAATCACTGACGCGTGTTTGTCCACAGTGTTTCCAAGAAAGCAGGTAGAAGCAAAGTGCCCTATCTGTCTTTAGCTCTATAAATAGGAGTAGGAAAGGCTTATCACAAGGCTGCCAGCAGGTGAGATGCACGTTACTTTATTTCTGGAAGGCTCAAAGAGGTCAAGTACGTTTACTGCTTTTAAAGTCACTCAAAAGACCAGACCGTTTAGAAGTGATGAATCTACTGTACATCCACAACTTATTTTACTGTTGCAGTGTGGCGCGCTTTCAAGACAGAAAAAGGAGGGTGGAAATTTGACGAATTGTGTAAAATTGACATTGCATTGCAGAGTTTGTGGTAAATTGTTGAGCACTATCCCCCTTACATAACCGATTGAAATGTTCTAGGTTTGGAAGCAATTAACAGCATTTGCAACATTGCGGTTCTTTCCTAAGAATTAACAGGCTCCCAGTAAGCACTGGGACAGACAGAGAAATATAGAGAGATAAATAAACTGTACCTCCTCCCTGGAGAAAGCCTTTATTGGATGACACAGACTGCAACCCAGAAATTAGATTTTCAGGACAGGATCTCTCTGCTGTCTTGGCTAGAATCACACAAAACACACACACACACACACACACACACACGTTACTGTGGAGGGTTGCTAAAATACAGTAAAGTGTGCAGCATATCTAAAAAAGAAGGAGTTAAAATGACCACATAATGAAAATCTGGATATACCTAGGCACATAAAGCATAAATATGAGTACAACTTGAGTCTGGTTTCCATTGGGAAGTTTAAGAAGTTATCTATTCACAGCTCGTCAGAATGTAAAAAGCTGGATATACAGATTAGAAATGTATTCAGCTCCCCCTGAAGAGGCATAACGAGTATTGAACACTTACGCTCAGCAAGTTTACATGGGTGAAAATATACAAATATGTGAAAATATGTAAATATAGCATTTATTTGGCGTATATTTGCATATTTTCACATATTTGCATATTTTGTATATTTGTATATTGTAAAAATTTTTATATTTTCCCTGTATGTTTGTGATGAGGCAACAAACACACGTAAACTTGCTAAGCGCAAGTGTTCAATACTTGTTTATGCATCGTGTCATATCACTTCGCTTTAACTGTGATTTTTCTAGAGTGACAGGACACAGACACAATTTATAAAAATCATTTTGTCTATGCGGAGGTTAATAATAAATCTTTAATCTCTGGTGGCTTAAAAATAGCTCAGTCATTCTTTCTAGCAAAAATAAACCACTCTACTACTTCAGTTAAAAAGTTTAACAAGGAATCTACACTACTCTAATTATTTTTTTTCTAAAGACAGCAGACATTGATATAACTGTGGAGTGTCAGAGCAGAGCTCATTAACATTCATGACCATTCCAAATATGGTCAAAGCAGAACTTTTCATTCTAGGGGTAATTCCTGTGGTTTAAATGAGCATATAAAACAGCTTCTAGAGAATGCTTGAACTTATCCACTATGCAGATATCAGAGAACGATTCATCTTGTTGAATAAATCCAATATATGGCACTTTTAATTTCATCCAAAAACATTGGCTTTAGCATTTAGTTTGGCAAAATGCTTGTTCAGCAGCTCATTTGTTTATGCAGAGGTTGATATTGAATACTGCCTGAGCTCAAAAGCAAACTAGTTTTCTCTGGTGGCTTAAAAAAAGCTCACTCATTCCTTCTAGCTAAAATAAACCTCTCTTCTATTCAGTTGAAAAGTTTAACAAGGAATCTACTAAAGTTGTTAAAATATGTTTCTTTAGAAAGCAGGCATTGATATAGCTGTGGAGTGTCAGAGCAGAGCTCATTAACATTCATGACCATTCCAAATATGGTCAAAGCCGAAATTTTCATTTTAGGGGTAATTCCTGTGGTTATAAATGAGAACATAAAACAGCTTCTGGAAAATATTTAAACTTACCTACTATGCAGATATCAGAGAACACTTGATCTTAATGAATAAATGCAATATATGGCACCTTTCATTTCCTCCAAAATATTGGCTTTACCATCCAGTTTGGCAAAATGCTTGTTCAGCAGCTCATTTGTTTATGCAGAGGTTGATATTGAATACTGCCTGAGCTCAAAAGCTAACTAGTTTTCTCTGGTGGCTTAAAAAAAGCTCACTCATTCCTTCTAGCTAAAATAAACCTCTCTACTACTTCAGTTGAAAAGTTTAACAAGGATTCTACTCAAGCAGACATTGATATAGCTGCGGAGTGTCAAAGCAGAGCTCATTAATATTCACAACCATTCCAAATATGGTCAAAGCCGAACTTTTCCTTCTAAAGGTAACTCCTGTGGTTATAAATGAGCATATAAAACAGCTTCAGGAGAATATTTGAACTTGCCTAAACCACATACCTACTACGCAGATACTGTATCAGAGACCAATTTATCTTATGAAATCAATGCACAGCTTTAATTTCATCTAAAAACATTGGCTTTACCATCCAGTTTGGCAAAATCCTTGTTCAGCAGCTCTTCTGCTGTGAGCTTGGAGAAATTGTCATCGCCAAATGGGTTCCAGGATCCTGTAGCTCCAGCCGAGTGTCCAGAAGCATCCGCTGGCTGATAAACACTTTGCTGTGATGAACACGGAGACCCCGATGGAGTAGTGCTAGCCGACCTACAGAAAACAACGCAAACTTGAAAGTTCCACACCAAGATTGTATGCACCATAGCTGTCATGTTTCAGTTTTCATGTCAATCTTCCTTGCTGTAACATTTCTTTGTTTCTGCACTGTAAAATGAAGCAGTAATGAAACAAGTTCCTTCCACTTGGATTTAAATGAATGTTTGTTGTATTTGATTGTGTTAGGCTGAACTTAAACTAATTGAGTTAATCTGACCTCGCAGATTTGTAGTTTCTAGTTGGTGTCAGAATGTAAAAGAAAAGCTATTTTGGAATCAGTTATTGTGTGTCTTTACACAACATTAACACATGGAGTCATACAATGTTTTCTAATGGTGTGTTAAATTGAGATTTACAGAGGTTTCTGCGATGAAATGCGCAAAGCTACCACTATGGTGGAAGCAGCAGAGTCTGTGGTTTGGTTGAGGATAGGCCGTAAAGTTTTTAAAAGGTTACTTCATCCATAAAGGAAAATTACCTCATTATTTACTCTCCCTCATGTGGTTTTAAAATTTTTCAAAGATATTTTGAAGAATGCAGTTTGATGGGACACATTGACATCCATAGAAGGATGTACAATGTACATTGTAAACGCGCTCTACAAATAAAGGTGAATTGAATTAAATATTAACAAAAATTATTTAAAAAATTAATAAAATTATAAAAAAAACAGAAACAGCTCACAAAATGATTTTTGGATTTTAATCTTTAAAAAAAACACTTAACTTTTAATTTTAACTGTGATATGAATAATTTATAAATAATATATACTTACCAGACTTTTTCACAAAATAATTTTTTCTTAAGCATGTGGATCTGTCAATAATTTGACAACAAATATCTTGAAAAATTCATTTGTATCCTTTACTAGTTGGGGGAAAAAAATTCTGCTAAATAATGTGTGATGTGTAACAAAAATACAATTACTCTGCTTCTCTGAAATAATTTATACAGAATGGTTGAATTTATGTTCAGTATTTTAGGCAGTAATGGCTATTAAATGGCCTAAAAATCAAAAGTAATCCTTTACTTATTTACCAGAAAGCTATTTTAAATTATAGTAACCATTTACTTTGTAACTAACTACACCCAAAACAGCATGTAAGGCCATCGTTTAACTTACTGCCAGAATGCAGTGCCTAATTTTGAGTTAGTATGGGATGTTGTGATATTGTGTACAAATTTATGTAAAATAATAATAATATATAACATAACAATAGTAATATGTAACATTACATAAAAATAACAATCTATAAATTTATATAAAAAAACATATAAAATAATTATATATATATATATATATATATATATATAAGCAATATCACACTCGTAGCAGTGTGCTATGGCTGTATATCAGCACTGGTGGGAGGCGTGCGTTATCACGAGGCCGCAGGCTCCGAAGTGTGATATTGCGTTTATACAACAGTTCGACTGCACAATCGTGTACATAAAAAAGAAAATCAAACACAGAGAGTCTAAAACCCTTTTGTATTAGGAACTACATTCTTCCGCCATTCATCTGCAGCTGACGTCAGAACAGTAGAAGTCGTTACTTCACCAACGTCACTTTAGGGCTAGTGTTTGAATGACTCTCTATAGCGTAATGTGAAGCTGCGTTTCTGGTGTGTGACCCCCTTAAGGTGATGACAAAACAGCAAATTTTGCTCACATTTTAAGATTTTAAGGCTGAATGTGACATGAAATGCCATCCGTCTACAGAGATTTCTCACCAGACTGCTGTTGTGTTTGCGATAAGGAGGGACAAGGCTGAATCCAGCTTCTTTTTTGCAGCTTCTTACTGACTCTATCCGGTCCACTTTAAAAACCACAAGGCTTCCATTTTTCAGATTTTTATTAGCACTCAAGAGAACACACTAAGCAAGGGCTTATTATGCGGTTCTGGCGCCATCTAGACAACGTCAACCGTCTTTGGCCGCTAACGAGCTCTTAGAAATATTAAATATTTTAAAATAGGCACTATTCTTACAAATAAACTGCATAGTTGCAATCTAAACAACTACATTCTTGACTAATAAAAGCCTCAAAAGTACATTTTGTTGTGTAACAGCAGTAATATTTGTCAAACTGTAGCCTTTCTGCTTGTTGCTTGCTGTATGTGGGAAGATTATTACACAGAGGTGAAGGGTGAAGAGGCCTTTGTGTGATGTTACTGGCTAACAGCCAATCAGATTCAAGAACCAGACAGAACTGTTGTATAAAAAATAATATATAACATTATATAATAATAATAACACATAAAATAATGATATATACAAATATATGTATAAAGTAATAATATATAACATCATATAATAATAATAATAATTATATATAACATTCTATAATAATATACAAATTAATTATTTACTTTGATTTGTTGAGGCTGGCTTCTGCAGCTGCAGCTTGAAGCAGTTGGGTGGATTTGCTCACAGGAACTCCAAATATGGTGCTGTGCGTGACATCACTTAGTATTCTTCTGTGTCCTCCCTTAGGGGCGGCTTTAGGGGAAGAGGGTGGAGTCAAAGAGCCGACTTTATGCACTCCACGACTTCCAGCAGCAGACTTTTACACAAAGGAAGATACAGAACAACATTAAAGACGAGGATATGCATGAGGAAATTAAATTTGTTCAGTGGTAAGGGTCATCTTCATAAAGTGAAGAAAGAGTTACAGAATTGAGAAATACAAAATTGCACTGATTTGTTGAGGGAAAAAGTGGGTAACCCCTTATACTTTAAAGGGATGTTCATGAGACTGTCATAAAACATTCAAAATAATGACATGACACTTAAATATGAATAAGAATATATGAAAGCTTATTACCATTGTTATTAAGCGTCATTACCATTTATTATTTAAGTGGTGACTATGTTTAAGATGTCTTTGTTATGACATGTTTGTCATAACTTTGTTACCTGACACGACCAAAAATGTCATAACCTGTCTTTGTCATGACTTGATATAATCAAGAAATCATTACCTGATTGTAATAAGTAATCGCCATTGTAATTGTGTCTGGACATTTATATCAGAGTCATAATATTTTCCTTGCCTCAACTACAGTGGTACAAATTGAATTCATCATTAAAATGTCATTAAATATTGATGACACTTAAACATTTATCAAAAGAGGATTGACACTTGAATTTGGCACCAATTGATACTAAAATTTTAAAAACATCCATGTCTCGCTAACGTTTGAGCGCTGTTAAGTGCATTCTTTGACAGCACTCTTTTGCCATTGTGTTCACATGCTCAACAGAAATGACTGTGATTGGCCATGAAGGTCATCAGTTTACCGAACTCACCGCTGTTTATTGAGTGTAACCACAGATATCAGGACACTGGAGCGTTTTAAAGCCGCGATTTAGCAGTGGATTGCTCGTCTGTCAGCTTTTAGATAAACTAGCTGATCGACATGACTTATAACACTCCAGTGTCCCTGTATCTGTGGTTACACTCAGGAAACAGCAGTGAGTTTGGTGAACTGATGACCTTTACAGCCAATCACAGTCATTTCTGTTGAGCATATAAACACAATGGCACAGCACTCAAACGTTAGCAGGAATTAAACGTTTTTCCATTGGTACCGAATTCCAGTTTTGTGACAACACTAAATGAAAATAGTGATCAGAAAATCATCCATGACAATAATGATTATGACAGATTTATGACAAGTTATGTTGCCTTGGTAATGTCAAGGGGTCATGACAATGGCTCGGTCCAAAATCGCCTACCACGCAGTAGGTACTACATTTGAATTTACTACTCTGCTGTTAGAACAGTATGAATGCGAGTCGTATGACTTGAACTTGGACATACTACAACTGCTATTTTGTCATAATCACGTGACCTACCCGCGTCAGTTGCGTAGCTTCACTCTCATTCATGAATTCTCTTGCGTATAATTATAGGATCGCATAGCGTCCATTGGATACACACTTCAGAATCTCACTAGAAGTAGTAGGCCAGAGACTTCCTGTTAGGTGAGCTATGGAGTAGGTTGTGTTCGCTAGGAGGTCCTGCAGAATTTGTAATTCTTTCTAAATTAATGCACATTTTTACTTAATATCAAGTGCCTGCAGATAATTGCGCACAGCCATCGCAACAGCGGCCTGCAACAGCTAACGTATCCTCGAATGAACGTGATATGGCTGTGGGGGGGGTCATCTGACTAAGCTTGATACGGCTCCAGGCGACATTCAGACTCTAAAAACTGACATTATTTCATCACTTCGCCGCGAACTATGGTCCATGCTTGGCGATGACTTTTCGGCCATCAAAAGTGAACTTTAAGTCGTGAAGGCGGAATTCTCGAACACGATGGTATCGATGCAAACTGAAATGTCGACACTAAAAAGCACGGTGAAGGATATGGAACATTCTCTTTCCACATGTTCGGTTGATATCACGGTCCTACATGAAAAGGCTAACTCTCTTCAAGCTATTGTGGTAAAAATAGAAGTGTAAGGATTTGGAAGCCAGATCTCGTCTGAATAACTTGAGGATTATTGGTGTTCCGGAAGACCAACGAAGATGAAAACTAAAGTCATTAAACGGGCTAACGCGCAGCCTTCGCAACAGCGACCTCCAACAGCTAACGCATCCTCGGATGAACGTGATAGGGCCGTAGGGGGTCATCTGACTGAGCTCGATACGGCTAAAAAGACTAAGACTCTAAAAACTGCAATAATTTACATCACTCTTTTGGCTACTGTGGTAAAATTAGAAGAAAAGTGTGACGATTTGGAAGCCAGATCTTGTCTGAATAACAGAAGGATTATTGGCTTTCTGGAAGACCAACTTTCTACTACTGTGGCGGTCTCCATGTAGTAGTAGGCCATCCGGGTACTTCTCGAATACTGTTTTTCGAATTCTGTGAATTCTGACATACTACTAAACGCTCAATGTTTTTAGCAAACTATATAGGATGGAAGTATGCGACTTCAGACACAGCAAAAGACAAAGACAGTTGTCTTTGTGATATATTTTTTTGGTCAAGTTGTCATGAAGACATCTCAAACTGTTGTTGAACTGAGGGAATGAAACTTAACGACAGTTGTCATAATATAATTAATGCATAAAATATTCTTCATATTCATTACATGAGTAAAAGGTGCCATGACAGTCTCATGATCACCCCCTTTATGTAAAGTGTTCCCAGAAAAGGTTGATCTGCGAAAATGAGAAAGTACACAAAAGTTCACCTTTAAAAATGTTTTTTTCTTTTTTTTTGGCAGATGAATTTGTCATTTGTGTTCATTTAAATAGACAAATGCATTCTGCTCAAACCTTTATTTTATTAACCCTCATTCCATTTCAAAGCCATATCAGTTTATTTTTATGCATGATTTTTCCATACTATGGAGGTGAAGTTGTTGAGCTTTAAATGACAGTAGCGAATTCAATTCATGTGTGCTATATTTTAAAGAAAAAAAACTAATTCTCAACAATAAATGTAAAACCTGGCCAACACCGTAATTTGACGTAACCTCTAAATATGTTTTATATAAATCAACACAAGTTTTTAGACAGTTTTCTGACAACAAGGTCTTACATAAAGCATTGAAGAGTACATTCGCAAAAAAAAAACGGTGATTATCTTTTTTTTGAAAATGACTTTTCCATTTACTCATATACAAATGTATAAGAGAGAATGACAGTATGACAATTTAAAATGTTTACTTATTTATTCATTTATTTTTTAATTAAAAAAACTTCATTAAAATGTGAACATTCTGCTAAATATCTGTTTTGAGCTTCTGAAACTGTTGTGTCATTTTTTTAAACAAAGATGAACTTCATGTGTTCACAACAAAGTTAGCAGCATATTTAATTTTCGACACTAATGAAAATGAGACAATCAGAGACAGAAGTATTCAGTTAAATGTACTGCTGTTTAACAACATGGCAACTTTTCAGATGACAAAACATCTTAACAATTTCCGCATACCAAACCTTTAATAAATAGATGTGCATGTTGAAAATGACGTGTAATCTAAGACCTTTATGCATGCGTCTCATTTTCATCTGTGTGAAATTCAACATGGCGTCCACCAAAACTAGTCTATAGACAGAAGATTTGTCTTAATGACATCTTGTCCTGCAGAAAGAGTTATTCAGAAACTATGCAGTCACCTACTGATTTCATGAAAAACTACATGCTAAAAAATCAGAACAGTTGGAAGGTGCAAGAAATTGAGTTAAGAGGAAAACGTTTTTACAAAGCAAAGAGAATCACTAGGCTGCATTTACACTGCATGGTTAACCCAATTCCATTTTTTTATTTCACAGATCGGATATGGCCCATGTATGTGAAAGCAGAAAAAAATGACATGGGATATCGATTTACTCAGATCAGATTCATGCCTCATTCATATGTGGAAATGTAACTGATATAAATGGGATCCGTGCCCTTGTGTCTGCAGTGTGAGCAGGTAGATCGGATTTTTACAAGTCGGTACAAAAAGCGAATGATGAAAACCAGACACTTTTATTTCAGAACAAAGTTCTTCATGAGTCCAAAACCTTAAATCTCTTATACAAGAACAAAAAAGGCTTTTATATTGTCATGAAGAACAAGTCAATGCATTTAAGCATGTCAACGAGAGAGAGAATGAAAGCAACATTCGCCGTGTAAAACAATACAAACAAATATAGTATTAATAACATAATACAATAATAATCTAATAAAGTAATAATATAACATTGGGATGTATTGTGCAGCCCTTACTGTATGGGGTAGGTTAAGAGTTGGGGTAGGTGTTGACGTCAATAAAACACAACAGGATGAACAAACGCAAATTAAATATCTTAATCTACAGTCAAACATGTTACGGTACATTATGACGATCTAAATGAATATCAATTAAAATGATTCAATTAATTAATTTTACAATTATCAACTGAAACATATTTGTAGCATTTCGTGTATTGTTAGCAAATACAGCACATTTATTTCAAATGGGCGTTCTTGGGATAGCTCATTAACGACACAAAACCGCGACTGATCCTTCATGACTAATAAAATATGTGTTACGCGATACTGTTCGAAAGTATTATGATAACAATAATATTATTATTATAAATAATAATATCACATTTTATTTATAATGCGCTTTTCTTAAACTCAAAGTGCTACAAGATATAAAACAACAAATAAAAATGCAACCCAAGTCAGAATTACATAAAATCCAAGTAACAAGCCAGAAGTCGAAAAACACCAAAACAAACTATCAGTCACACTAATAATGTTGTACGGATCAATTATAATTTATAGTGTTTGATGCTTTTTAATTGTTGTTTTTACCTTACCATGTTATATATTAGTATTTTTATCTGTCAAATATTGTTTTGAGTGTGTGTTTGATGCATTTCAGGGAATTGTGCTGCAATACCCTGTCCTGTCAAATTTTAAACAAACTAAATACTGAAATAATTAATAAAATAACACGCAACAGATTACAAATCGCATAAACGTGACGGTAACAATCACAAAGCAAGTTCTAAAAAGACGCGTCTTAAGAAGCTTCTTAAAATGATCCATAGAAACGGTATTTAACGATATTTATCACGATATAACTAACTTTGTTGTGTAAATGCAGACATCGGAAGGCCCAGGTTTTACCCCATAAATAAGTTTGGGTAAACAATTATTTGCAAACATTTATATTTATTCAGTTTTTAAATGAATTTCAGTAATATTATTGACTAATATGAAAGCGTTCAGTGTTTCCTCTAGGATTTTTTTGGCAGGCCTTTTTTTTTTTTTTACACAGATCTACCAAATACCGGTGGCGTTCTTTCAATGACAAATGACTTGAGAGCAGTATTAGAAGTCGAGATCGCATTTATGTAATAACCTACATGCATGAGCATGTGAATTTCTGCTTGTGCTCGTTCACAAAACTTCTTGCATCTTGCACGCCCCCTCAAATATAAGCCACTTCTAAAGCGCGCAGATCTTCTTGTGCGCTCTAAAACAAACGCTGCTGAGTGCGATTTAGTGCGTTTAGGTAACGAGTATGTCTCCAGCATTTACTAGATTTGCTAGGAATGTTTATGAATGTCTTTAATAGACCTACAGAGTAGCATTAATGCGTCTTGAAGTAAAGTGAAATGGCTATACGTCGTGTTTGCTGGCCTCACGCGTCACGAACTCTCAGCCAGTCAGTAAGTCACCTTAAAGGGTTAAACAAATGATGCACAGCACTACTACAGTTACAGAAAAGTTTGCGCTTTTAAAACAAATAAAATGTTTTGAATAAGAAGCTGTAATGTAGCCGTGGCGGAATTTTGGCGTGGTGCCCAGCCATGGAAAAATGAATGTAGCGGAAACCATGGCGTTCATATGATTTATGTACAATACAGTTTGTAAAGTAATATTTTCTGTCTTTTAGTAGGTCTATTATATGAGAGACTTGCTTTGTTTACCAATTAAGTGGATCTAATTGGATCTGCACTGTACGCATTACATAAAAGTTTAAAAGGTATTATTTTTTATTTAATATATTACATTTTTAGTAAAGGATACTCCCAAAATCATTGAGCAGAAATGGCAGATTCTGTCTGGACAGCGGGTCGTCAAAATAAACAAATAAAATCAAATACAGTAACAAAATCGGAACTGAGCATCAAGATCTGCAGTGTGAATGCAGCCTAATAGATCAGCCACAGATGACTGAATGGTTACCCTCTGCTCTGGCTCTCCTCCAGAGTAAGTGGATGCTGCTGAGGTGCTGTTAGGTGGAGGCAGGGTAGTGGAGGCATGTGATGCAGGGGGTGGAGGTGCCATAGCTTTGGTTTTAGGTTGCGCAGACACGGAGGCCTCACCATCTACACTATGTGAAGATTCAGCAGGCGGGGCTGGGGCCATTGCTTTGGGTTTTGTCTGTGTGGTTGCTGATAGTGTTGTCAGGCGATCGGGTTGAGGGTGGTGCATGGGTGGAGGGGGTGCCCTATTCTTAGGTTTAGATTGTGTGGAGGGAGATGCAGCTGGCATTTGTGTCTGCGTTGAGTGATTCTGCTATGAGAGGAAGTACAGTAGATGCAACAAAACAAATGACAACACAAACGATGAATAGAATGATGGTAATTGCAATCAATTTGACTTCCATAATGACATATTTGTGAGTAAAATAATATATTTAATTAGAAACAAAAGCAGGGTAAAGGGGTGTAATCTTGCATGCATTCATCCCATGAATGTTTTTATTATTAAGGGAAAACAAAACGTAGCTCTGTATGAAACCTTATAATGGTTTGGGCCACCCCTAGCAGCAACAACTACAATAAAGCATTTCGATAACTTGCAATCAGTCTGTTACAGCACTGTGGAGAAACTTCAGCCCACTCATCTTTGCAGAATTGTTGTAATTCAGTCACATTGGCAGGTTTTTGAGCATAAACCGCCTTTTTTAAAGTCATGCCACAGCATCTTAATAGGATTCAGGTTAGGACTCTGACTAGGCCACTCCAAGTCTCTTTTTGTTTTTCTTAAGCCATTCAGAAGTGCACTTGCTGGTGTATTTTGGATTGTTGTTGTGCTGCAGAACAAGCTACAGCTTGAGGTCACAAAAAACAGCCGAACATTCTCCTTTAGCATATTTTGATAAACAGCAGAATTCATGGTTGCATTTATCACAGCAAAAGGCCGTTCACACAGAGGCGTCTTTTTTTGAATGGTTTGCTAATGGCTAAAGTGTTTTGCGCGCTGCTTATGCACCCAGCGCTCCACGTTTTAACCGACAGCTGTGCTTTGTGTTTTTGCCCTCGTGCACCGTGCGCTCGCAGTCGAAAAAAAAGTAAACTGAGTAAAAAAAAAAGCATTACGTCGGTCTTTTTTATTCTCCAATCAAATGAAAGCAGAGGCGGGGTTTCTGTTGACGCGCCTGCTTTGTTTTTGCTGTCAAGGCAACAACAGAGACTTTTGAAGACGGAGGAGAGACTTGTGGTTGCTGTTTTGAGTTTTCCAGAGCTGTATTGCTTTACAAATCTAGAATATCACAATAATATTAAATAATAAAATTATATTAATATCAACAGCAACACTCGCACAATACCCAGCTGATTTACTCGTTGCCTAGCGACATAAAAAAAAAAAAGGTCCAGCACTTTTTTAATTATAGCCAACAAAGAAGGCAGTATGGCGCGCCTTGTGTTTTTGGAATGTAAATGCATGTTTGGTTTGATCGGCCCCCAAGTCTTCCAGATCCTGAAGCAGCAAAACAGCATCACACGATCGCCACCCCCATTTTACAGTTGGTTGGATTTTTCTGAAATGCTATGTTACTTTTACACCACACATAATTGGACACACACATTCCAAAAACTGTCTGGTCAGTCCACATAGTATTCTCTCAAAAGTCTTGCGGATCATCAAGATGTTTTCTGGCTAAACTGACATGAGCCTTTATGTTTTTTGTGCTCAGCAGTGCTTTTTGTCTTGTAACTTTGCCATGCAAACTGGGTTTTGCCTATTTTTTGCTATAAGTCTCTTTTTTATGGTGGAGTCATGAACACTCATCTTATCTGAGGCAAGTGAAGCATGCGGTTCTTTTGTGGGGTCTATTATGACATCCTGGATAAGTTGTCACTGTGTTCTCTGTGTAACTTTGGTTACTCCTGCGAAGGTTCTTCACAGTTTCATGTTTTTGCCATTTGTAGATAAAGTCCAGACTGGTAGATCTCAATTTTATTTGATCAATTATTATCTCATATCCCAGTACTGGGTTGCAGCTGGAAGGGCATCCACTGCGTAAACATATGCCGGAATAGTTGGCAGTTCATTCTGCTGTGGCGACCCGTGATAAATAAGGGACTAACCCGAAGGAAAATGAATGAATGAATGATCTCAATTGTTTATGAATTTCTTTGGATCTCGGATCTTTGGATCTATGCAGTTTTGTGTTTTGTTTTCCCATAATAATAAAAACCATTTCAAGACTGCATGATGTGTTTACTTGTGTTATGTCTGACTAATATGTGAAATTTTAATCTGAAATTTAGTGAAATTTAATCTGAAACATTGAAGTGTGGCAAAAAAAAAAAAAAAAAATGAGGCAAACACTTTTTTCGTGTGATATTACATTGCAAGTCATTCAGTAGTTACCTGCTGTTGAGCAGTAAAGAAGGCTGTATTTTGCTGCTGCACAAACAGTTGTGCGTGCTGGGGTGTGGTCTGTGGTGGAGAGGGAGTGGCTTGCTGCTGAGCGACAGGAGGCTGGGAAGCCATGTTGACACCTGTGAATTCACAGAAACCTGGATTAAACATGCAAACACACACAACCACCAAACCTTACACAAGACAAGGAAGAACACTGAAAACATTTAAGGATTATGAAACCTGAAATGCAAAAAAAAAAAAAAAAAAAATATATATATATATATATATACATATATATATATATATATATATATATATATATATATCATGGAAAATAATGAAAACAAAACAAAAAAAACATCATGGACGTGAATTTCTGCTAATTTTGTGCGATTCGAATGTTTAGAAAATGAAACTAAAGAGATAGTTGTTGTTTCATTGTATTGGTGATTCCAAATATGTAATGTAATCGTAAGCTTGTCAAGCAATTTTGCAAAATGTGATGATGTGAAGTGAAATGACTTGCCTTAAAGGGACTTTGGTTTGACATACTGTTTTGTTTTGTTTGTAAAACATTTTATATTTTGGGCAGAACTGTGTTAGCTGTATTGGTCAGTCCCTCTAAAACCACTCCAGTGTCTAATGTGGCCCATTGGGGAAACTAATTCCCCACCCCTGCTTTAGAGCATGGTGTTACCCTGCTAATCTGACAATAAAAAACTGCAGGACCATAATACAATCAGGATAATCAAAAGTGTAGGCTTTAATTAGGATTGACTTGAGTAATAGGAAGTGAAATGACAGCTCTGTAGGATTCAGTATGTCAGGGGCTCAATAGCTCAGGCTCATTAGTGAGCCTTTAAAAGCTCTCTCTGATGACACACTGATTGAACTAGAGGGAATTACAGAGCTGTGTGTGTGTCAGTTGAAGATGAACACCGGTCAATAGACCCTTTTCACATTTCCTGGTTTCTCAGTAGTAAAAGTCATCACAGTTGGGTAAACTTAGAGCGCAGTGAATGGGAGAGAACAACAAGTCATTTTGTTTCAATCAAATCTGCTTAAATAACAAAAGAAAAACACCATAATGGTGTTACCAAGAGTTTCTGAAAAATGAAAAGAAATAGTGCGAGACTGATAACGGCAGCCAGAAGAGAGAACAACGTCAGATTTACTGTCCTGCCCCCATAGACTCTGCATTAGAAACACGTTGCATACGCAGTCATTTATTTATTTTTGTAATTTGAAGAAAAGATGATATATAATACTTACATAAATACAGATCTTATTTTGTGCCGGAACACGAATCCGGATCCACAACTGAAATCTGATCCGGCACCTCATTTTACCGATCCCCCTTCTCAACCGCCCTCCTCCCTCGTCCCCTGCAGTGTTGCCAACCTAGCGACTTTGTTGCTTTGTTCATACATTTTTCATACATATAATTTTCAAAAAGCGATTAGCGACAAATCTAGCGACTGTGCTACTGGAGATATTTATAGAATTTTATGTGTCCGTACTGTACTGTGCCCACTTTTCCCAACGAGTTGCGAGTGATGCCGTCGACCCCTCCTCCGCCTCAGAGTACTAACAGGCACCCAATCTCTCCCACCTGCAGCCTGAAGGCTGATTTATACTTCTGCGTCAAACGCCGGCGTATGCTACGGCGCTGACGCATAGCCCTTCGCCGTGGCCGTCGGCGATACTGACATGCACCTCTCAAAAATTGTAACTTCACGTCGCAACGACGCGTAGCGCAAGCTCTGTGATTGGTCGGCTTGGTAGCGCTGACGAGTCTGGGCGGGACCGAGAGCTGCGTGAATGGTGCGAGCCTGATAGAGCGATTGTTTACAAGTGTGGAGTCCCGTGAAGGAGCTCCGGATGGAAATTTTTGTTTTGTGTTTACCTCATAGTTAAAGTTGTTGCAGGTCCGCCGGTTCCTGCCTCAAAATGAGCGAGTTTGAGCCACTTGTACATTCAGGAAGTGTTCAGGAAAAGCAACACAGCAGCGAAGAAACTCGACACAGAGGAACATTTACACCTCACTCGGAAATTCGGAAATGTTAATGCAGACCAACAGAGACAGCGCGCAGAAGTATAAATGCACAGCTACGCTCGCTGCATGCGCCGTGGGTTACACCGGTCACTTGACGCAGAAGTATAAACCAGGCTTAAGAGCGGATCAGCCCTCTGTGTACCCACAGCGATTGATTTAGCACCAGCTGTGTGAGGTATTTTCATTGTGCAGTCAAACCGATCTGCTTCTCCTTTATTTCAACAATTTAATTAGACCGTTTATTAGTTTCTTGTTTACAATCACAGATATTTTAGTGACCGTTTTGAAAAGTTTTATTGAAAATAGTTGGCAACAGTGGTTCGCTGTTGACTTTCATTTTCTTCCGCGACTCCCCAACCTTTTTCATTTTCGTCTGCAACAACCCCCCCGCTCTTCACTTTCGTCCTGCGTCCGTGACACCTCGCCACCCCTTCACTATTGTGCGCGACAACTCTCCATCCTTGGGTAACACGTCGCATCCTTTACTCTGATCTGTTCTTGGACCTCACCATTCACAAATGAAGCACTGCATAAATACATAAAAATTTACATTCGTTTATTAAAAAAATCTAAATACATTGCTTCCTTGTTATTTGCGGGAGTTACGTTCCTAAAATAACCAGCGATAGGCGGAATCCGCAAATGGTAAGTCGGCCACTCCTGGGAAGGTTCTTTACTGTTTCATGCTTTTACCCTTTGTAAATAAAGGATCTCACTGTGGTTGACAATTGTCTACAACCAATCAGGATGCAGAACATAATGCACCGTTAAAAAAAGGCTGCGAAAAGGTGAACTAAGTTTTAGAGAGGGGCTACTGTATTAAAAGCTTTTAAAAGCATCTTAAAATGTATTAACATATATTTAAAAGGATTTAGGCTGATGTTGTGTAAGTTGATGTTCTGCTGATGACTGTTAAATGTGTCATAACAGTCTTGTGAAAAGGGTCTTTATGATGTGTGAGGTGTTAAGAGAGAGAGAGATAGAGAGATAGAGAGAGAGAGAGAGAGAGAGAGAGAGGGAGAGAGAGAGAGAGGGAGAGAGGGAGAGAGAGAGAGAGAGAGAGAGCAAGAGAGAGAGAGAGAGAGAGCAAGAGAGAGAGAGAGATTGAGCATAAAGACACAACACTCACTGATTGGTTGGCTGGGTCCTGGAGGTGCACTGGGTCTTTTGCGAGGAGTGAGGGCTGGCTGGATTGGCAGGATGCCTGTGATTGGTTGAGCCTGACCAGCCTTGGGACGCTGCCGGGGTGCGATGGATGTCTCAGTAGTGGGGACTGGATCAGTGAGCCTGAATGACAAGAAAAGTTCAGTCAAAACCAACAACTTTCATATTACGAGGCTGTTTAAAGCGGTCCTGTTTCCCTTTCATAAGGGGTTTAAACACAGTTGTGTGGCGGCAGTCTGTGATAACCAGCTACTAATGGTAAAATTTAATAAATTCTATTTCTTATAATCACACTTGATAAAAACACATAGACCGACATTCTCCCATTGTACGCATCATCAGAGGGGGAAAGCTCCACCAGTTAGTGATGAGCTCTCCCTCATTAACATAGGACGTTGGTCTGGTTTTTGAATCTGCCACTATACTGACACACAGGCATTTGAAGCTCTGCCTTCATTTGAAAAGAGCACAATCTCATTTGAATTTAAAGCGACAGTCACCAAAACACCACAGTTGGCATTAAAGGCTAAAAGGAGCAGATTCACAGAGTTATAATGCATTATTTGTGTGGTATTTCACGCTGAAACTTTACATACACACTTATTTTACAACTTGCAAAATAGGCATAATAGGTCTCCTTGAAACAATAAACTAAACACACCCTATTCATAAAAGTCTTTACATAAAACTTAAAGAGACTTCTAACAGAATCCTGAACACACACAAGAACATGTTGAATGGGGGAAACTGAGGAAAAATCTACTAAGTATGGAGTCAGTGATAAATGTGAGTGTGAAGTTTAATGGTACGGCATTACAGAAGTGAATTAATTAATCAAATTTATACTGAAAGATAACTTGGAGCATGCAGATAATGCGAGGCCTCACCTGGCTTTGTTTTGACTCTTCTTGGCCACAGCTTCACTCGCCCTGATTGGCTCGGGGAGTTTTGTTGGAATGGGTGAATTCTGGAAGAGTAACAGGAAAAGGATCAGCAGCAGGTTCTTTTATTTTGCATTTGCTTGTCAACTCCTTTCATTTCTAAGTAAAACATCATTCAAACACAAAAAAACATGTTGACTGGGATTTGGGACTTCAAAGGAAATGGTTGTTCGTGCTAGATAGGGTAGTCTGAGTTTTTCAGAAACTGATCTATTGGGAATTCCACGCACAACCATCTCTAGGGTTTACAGAGAACTGTCCGAAAAGAGGAAATATCCAGTGAGCGGCAGTTCTGTGGGTGCAAATGCCTTGTTGATGTCAGAGGAGAATGGTCAGACTGGTTCCAGCTAATAGAAAGACAACAGTAACTCAAATAAGCACTCGTTACAACCGAGGTATGCAGAAAAGCATCTTTGAATGCACAACACATCCAACCTTGAGGCAGATGGGCTTTAACAGCAGAAGATCACACCGGGTGCCACTCCTGTCAGCTAAGAACAGAAAACTGATGCTACAATTCACACAGGCTCACCAAAATTGGACAATAGAAGATTTGAGAAATGTTGCCTGGTATGAGGAGTCTCAATTTCTGCTGGAAAATTCGGATAGCAGGGTCAGAATTTGGCGTCAACAACATGAAAGTATGAATCCATCCTGCCTTGTAAGGTTCCGGCAGGTGGTGGTGATGTAATGGTGTCAGGGATATTTTCTTGGCACACTTTGGGCTCATTAGTACCAATTGAGCATCGTGTCAACGCCTCAGCCTACCCGAGTATTGTTGCTGACCATGTCCATCCCTTTTTGACCAGTTTACCCATCTTCTGATGGCTACTTCCAGCAGGATAACGTGCAATGTGATAAAGCGTGAATCATCTCAGACTGGTTTCTTGAACATGACATTGAGTTCACTGTACTCAATTGGCCTCCACAGTCACCATAGCTCAATCCAATAGAGCAGTTCTGGGATGTGGTAGACCGGGAGATTTGCATCATGGATGTGCAGCTGACAAATCTGCAGCAGTTGCATGATGCTATCATGTCAATATGGAGCAAAATCTCTGAGGAATATTTCCAGTACCTTGTTGAATCGATGCCATAAGGGGTTAAAGCAGTTCTGCAGGCAAAATGGGGTCCAACCTGGAACTAGTAAGGTGCACCTAATAAAGTGGCCGGTGAGCATGTAATAATAATTATTTGTTTATTTAATTTTATTGTATTATTTTGAACAATAGATATTATCTTATTACTCGATGTAAATGTAAACAATGTAAACAATGTTCTGATGTTTTGGCACTAAAAACATTCAATAACATATATTTAATAATCCAAAAATAATAAATAATATGATAAATATTGTAAAATAATTTGAATTCTTACTTGTTAATTTTAGTTAACTAACAATAAACAAATTTATTTCCATTAACTAATATTAACAAAGATGAAAATACACTGTAGTAAATGTGTTTTTCATTGTTTGTTCATGATTTTAATTCATTAACTAAAATTGACAAATACAACCTTATTATAAAGGTTTAACAGTATTTTAAATTAATGATGTAGGTTTTAAAAAACTTTTGCATGTGTATATCATATATAAAGTCATTTTGAGCATGTCGAGGCTGATATGCCTTTGATCATGACTCACTGCTTCTATTATAGTGGGAGGGGTCACTGGATCTGAGCCAATTGGCAGCCACCAGTGACATTCCACTTCCTCTGCCGATACGTGCGAACAATTACGATATCCACTCAAAGCAATGGCCATGAATTAAACATGGATTAAGTAGCATGCGCTGGAATAGCGAACAAAAACTGTGTAGAGTGTGGGAAAATCGGTGAGAAGATAAGGGTTAATGCACATGCTAGTTAGGGCACAGGAAGATCTGATGAAGTCTAAATAAGCAGCACTTACGTGAACGTTCTGTACCGGACAGTCCCTCCGGGAGAGTTTAAAAGCGAAATATGACACCTGGAAGATATCTGGCCTCATGTCAGGGTCTGGCTCCAGCATGTAACCTGAGGTGGGAAAAATGAAACAAAAATTACAAACATTTTGGTCAGTTGTGTCACTCAACTAAAATAAAACCCAAGTTTCAGCCTTAGAATTGATTTATTTGATTCTGAAACACAGTAAGACTATAATCTGGAATATTTTTATAATTCAAAATAAATTAATTTGATTTGAATACATGAATCCATTTACACTACCTGACAAAAGTCTTGTCGCCTATCCAAGTATTAGGAACAACAAATAATAACTTGACTTCTAGTTGATCATTTGGTATCAGAAGTGGCTCATATGAAAGGCAAAGGCCTCTAGATTACGCTTATTTTACCAAAATAAAATATGATCATCCCTTGATTTTTAATTATTTTATTAGGACAGTAAGATCTGACTTTGCTTAGACAAAAGTCTCGTCACTGAACAGAAATAATGTCCAGTATTCACCTTAGTCTTCGTCGACGAGCGGGCGCAGCCATTTGAATCTTTTTGGCTCGAGACTTCCGGTTTCATTTACTTCGATTCATTTTCAGTTTGATGTTGCAAACTGATATTTTTTTATTATATTATTCTACTTGGTCTGTATAGTCATGCAAACATTTGTTTGTAGAGGAAGTAGTTTGACCGTTTTCTGCCGTTTATCATTCCTAGTCATTTCTCCCATAGGCGACTGAATCGGAAGCTCTAAAACAATCGCGAAAACAGGCGCAACTTCCGTATTTTAGAATAAGGTCAACAGAATATAAAGTCGTGCTGCAGTGGAAACAGAATGAATATTGTGTCTGACTCCATCATGAGCTTGGAGGACTGCATCCATCCATCTCTGCAATGACTCAAATCACTGAAGAAAGTGTTCCTGCAGGACTCCCAGAGTTCATCAAGATCCTTTGATTCATTTTCAACGCCTCCTCCTTTATCTAACCCCAGACATGCTCGATGATGTTCATGTCTGGTGACTGGGCAGGCCAATCCTGGAGCACCTTGACCTTCTTTGCATCAGGAGCTTTGATGTGGAGGCTGAAGTATGAGAAGGAGCGCTATCCTGCTGAAGAATCTGCCCTCTCCTGTGGTTTGTAATGGGCAGCACAAATGTCTTGATACCTCAGGCTGTTGATGTTGCCATCCACTCTGCAGATCTCTTGCATGCCCCCATACTGAATGTAACCCCAAACCATGATTTTTCCTTTACCAAACTTGATTGATTTCTGTGAGAATCTTGGGTCCATGCAGGTTCCAATAGGTCTTCTGCAGTATTTGTGATGATTGGGATGCAGTTCAACAGATGATTCATGGGAAAAATCTACCTTCTGCCACTTTTCCAAATGATCAATTAGAAGTCAAGTTATTATTTGTTGTCATTATGAATGTATTAAAACATATGCTTCCCTTTTACATGAAAGTGCAAAGCAAGGGGTAGGAGTAAGGGGAAGGGCTAAGTGGTGGAATAGGGATTAAGCCTTAATTGACACACAACATTTAAACCATGAAACCAAGTACCAAACTCTGTGAGACAGTCTTCCCTTAACATATAAATCAGAAGAGAAAGGAAGAGCTGTTCTTACGGATGAGACAGTGCATATCGTGTGAGTATCTGGAGTTGTCTGGGATGGTGAAGCTGCCGTCACAGATAGCCACCTGACTCTCTCCAAACGGCAATGTGAAATAACACAACTTATACAACAAGCAGCCTAAAGCCTGAGGACACAAACATACAAGAGACACTGTTTCTGAGCACTGTCTAAAAAAAGAACAACTAAACACATACAATACCTTTTCGTTAACAATGGCACTCTTAGTATACAGTAGCATGAAGACAAAAAACTATTAGCCCTCTGTGATTTTATTAAAATAAATAAATGAATAAATAAATTTATAAATAAATTAATTAATTAATGAATAATGACAATAAATAAATAAATAAATAAATAAATGAATGAATAAATATATAAATAAATTAATAAACTAATGAATAATGAAAATAAAAAAATAAATGGACAAAAAATAAATGATCGAATAAAGAAAATAAAAAATAAATGAATAAATAAAGAAAGAAAGAAAAAAAGAATAATTAAAGAAAATAAAAAATAAATGAATAAATAAATAAATGAACAAATAAATGTATGAATGAATAAAGAAAATAAAAAATGAATGAAGGAATAAATAAATAAATTAAGAAACATAAATAAATGAATGAATAAACAAAAAATTAATGAATAAACATAAATAAATAATAAAAAATTACAAATACAAAAATTAATCAATAAATGAACTAATAAATTAATGAATAAATAAACATAAATGAATCGATAAATAAATAAATGAATACCAAAAGAAAATGAGCAAATGAATAAATTAAATAAAAGAAAGAATAAAAATAAATAAATACAATAAATGAACAAATAAATATATAAATTAATGAATAGAGAAACTAAATAAAATAAAAAATAAATAAAAAAATAAATAAATAAAATAGTGGGCGGCGCGATGGCACAGTGGGTAGCAGAAGGGCGCTGGTCGAGCCCCTGCTGGCTCAGTTGCCATTTCTGTGTGGAGTTTGCATGTTCTCCCCGTCTTGGCGTGGGTTTTCCTCCAGGTGCTCCGTTTTACCACAGACATGTGGTATAGGTGAATTGGGTGAGCTAAACAGACCATATTCTATGTGTGTGAATAAGAATGTATGGGTGTTTCCCAGTGATGGGTTGCAGCTGGAAGGGTATCCGCTGTGTAAAACATATGCTGGATAAGTTGGCGGTTCATTCCGCTGTGGCAACCCCTGATTAATAAAGGGACCAAGCCGAAAATGAATGAATGAATAAATCAATGAATAAATAAAAGAAAAAAAATTAAGAAAATAAATAAACAAACAAACAAACAAATAAAAAATAAATAAAGAAAGAAAAAATGAATGAATAAAGAAAGAAAATAAAGAAAGAAATAAAAAAAAATAATAAATAAATAAATAAATACAAGAAACTTAATAAATAAATGTATGAATTAATAAAGAAAATAAATAATACAAAATGAGTAAATTAATGAATTAAATATATACATAATTAAATGAATAAAGAAAATAAATAAGACAAAAACTAAATAAGTAATTAATAAAACAAATATACAAACAAACAAATAAACAAACGAAAAGAAAATAAATAGAAATTGATAAATAATAAATAGAATTAATAAATAAACTAAATAAAAGAAATAATTAAAAGAAAACAAATAAAATACCAAAATTAATAAATGAAGAATGAATGAATGAATGAACGTATGAATGAATGAATGAATAAATGAAGAATGAAAACATCAATAAAGCAGCTTTGACTGTATTATTTAAGACATTTAAAACAAATCCCCATAAATTCAAATGAACCAAATCTTTTTGAAAAAATACAATAAGCCTCTATTCTCATTCAAAACCAAACTTTTAAAATTAAAATGTTTTTGATCATGTTTTGAGCAAAAGATCAAAAGTTAATAAAGGTCAAAGGCTCTCCATTTTTCCTATGGTTATGTTTACCAAGGGTGCCATTATTAATGGAGCGCACTGTAGACTGTAAAAAATTAAAAATATCCTTTGTGATCTTTATTAATCCTATAAAAGCAGGTTACATATTCATCAATAATTGGCAAGACACAATAGCTTGGGTTGCTACTAAAAATACCCTGTTGTCACCGCAGGTAAATGATTATTTGACTTGACTCACCCATATATCTGCTTTAGTAGTGATGACCATGCCTCCGTAGAGATTGACCATTTCTGGGGCGCGGTATGAAAGAGTAGTGTACCTTAAAACACACAAGGAGGAAATATATTTGACTGATGTGAACAACTGAAGTGTGTAACGCAAACAAAAGAAATCAGCCCTTACTTCTTGATTTCTTCTTCTACAACCGCCACACCTTCTGTTTGCGGATTCTGGGAGCGGTTGATGGCACTACCGAAATCACACAACACATAATGACCTCTGTCATGGAGCAAGATGTTCTCCACCTACAACACACACATACAAAGAAACGAGATGAGTTAAAATAGCCCTTCTGTGAATTTGTTTTTGGAATAATTCCGAAATTGTTTAACAGAGCAAGAAACTTTTCACAGTATTTCCTATAATGTTTTTTCGGTCCCACTTTATTGTGGCCTTAACTAATATGTACTTACAAAGGAATTAATAGATTTTTACAATGTACTTATTGTGTAAATACATGTATTTACTGTGCACTTATGCTTGATTAAAGACATGTATGTAATTACATTTATAATTAACTTTTGTAATTACATTTGTAAATACACTGTTGACCATCCCTTACACCTTAACCCACCCTTAAACCTACCCACACCACCAAACCTGTCCATAACCCAACCTCTATCCCTACTCAAAAGCACCACAAGTGTTCTCAAATACATTATAAACACAGTAAGTACATTGTATTTATTTTTTGATGCAAGTACATAGTAGTTAAGGACACTTAATATAAAGTGGGACCGTTTTTTCTTCTGGAGAAAGCCTTATTCATTTTATTTTGGCTAGAATAAAAGCAGTTTTTAATTTTTTAAACCCATTTTAAGCTCAATATGAGCCCACTTTAAGAGTTGAACAAACTAACAAAATAACAAATTAAGCTCTTAGCAATGTACTAATAATAAATAGTTATGTTTTGTAATATTTACAATAGTAAATGTATAATATATAGATTAATTGAAGATGATCCTTAATCCTTAATTCATACTCTAATGACTTATATGCATAAAATAAATTTGATATAATAACATTTATAATTTCTTAGTCATTTTGACTGACTTGAGATAGAAAAGTTAATTTTATTCAACTAAAATAGAAAAGGCAGGATGATTTTTTTTTTTTACAGCGTACATAATATCAAGTATGTATGCACACTCACCGGCCACTTTATTAGGTACACCTTACTAGTACTTTTCTAGTATAGTATATTTTCTCTTATCAAGCCATTCTCTGTAAACCCTAGAGTTGGTTGTGCTGAAAATCCCAGCAGATCAGCAGTTTCTGAAATCCTCAGACCAGCCCATCTTGCACCAACAACCATGCCATGTTCAAAGTCACTTAAATCACCATTCCTCCCCATTCTTATGCTCAGTTTGAACTGCAGCAGATTGTCTTGACCATGTCTACATGCCTAAATGCATTGAGTTGCTGCCATGTGATTGGCTGATTAGAAATTGGCGTTAACAAGCAGTTAGAGAAGTGTACCTAATAAAGTGGCCAGTGTGTGTGTGTGTGTGTGTGTGTGTGTGTGTGTGTGTGTGTGTGTGTGTGTGTGTGTGTGTGTGTGTATATATATATATATATATATGCATCTTCGCATGTATGTATAACATTGAATGAAACAAATGTAAGAAAAAAACATTGTATATAAATACAATGTTTAATATTAAATAAATAAAAGGTGCAATAACACAAAATCATTTAACATTTTTAGATGCAATTTATTAAAGTCAAATAGATTTTGAAAAACACAATAACAGTTCCTTCTTGAGAAAGAAATTACATACTGATAGTCTGGAAAGCACATACTTTGAGGTCCCGGTGGATGATGGGAGGTTTGCACTGATGTAGTCGAGCAACAGCTTCACATGTGTCACAGAAGATCTGCAGCACTTCCGACTCACTGAAGCCCGTCTGCAAACGCTGGTTCATCAGGTTCACAACCTGCCCGCCTGCATTAGCAGAGAACAGAAAAATGGTGGAAGATTAGTAGTAAATCTAATCTGAAATGTAATTCCTAAAGTCCACAAACCAGAAGCTGCAAAAACTTTTTTTTTTGTATTGTGATGCAGTTTTCAGAGAAACGAAATATTAAATGAGAAAACAGTGGGCAGGGCTTGTTTTTCTACTGCGAGCTGATTGGATGTAGTACAGTAGGCATTTCATTCAGAAAGATCAGAAAAAGGGTTTTGGGAGAGTTATTACATTCTAACAGACTCCTCCTCCTCCTGCTCAACGTCAAAACTGACAGTTAGAGGGGCGTGGTTAAGTATATTAGCCACGCCCAATACCTCAGAGAATTTGACTAAAAACAAACAAAGTACATTTTCAGATTTCAATTAAAGATCACAAAGGCAAACAACTTTTTTTTTTGGTTCTCAATGACATGCAGTACACCACAAAACTAGCAATGTGAGCTAACAAAATCCATATGTTAGATTTGACATACAGACCTCTACAGAAGTCCATCAGTATGAGAACTTCCCAAACGTCCCCTGATCCCACCGCTGTGATGCTGGAGTCCAGGAAGCCTACTATGTTTTTGTTCCCCACGAGGTCCCTCTGTTGAAGAAAATAGCATTGTGTGGCAGGATCAATCAAGCAGGATCAATCAATCAATCAATCAATCAATCAATAAGTCAGTCTGTCTGTCTGTCTGTCTGTCTGTCTATTATTTACTGTTATTACCAAGAATAATCCATCCATCCATCCATCCATCCATCCATCTATCCATCTATCCCCTATTATTTACTGTTATTAGCAGGAATAATCCATCCATTCATCCATCACTATTAGCAGGAATAATCAATCAAGTAATCTATCAATCAATCAATCCATCAATACAACTATCTATCACCACATCAGCAACTTATGTTAAGATTATGGTAAGATCAAACATTACATAAAAACAACTTCCTATTTCAAGAAGAGATCCACAAACAAATATATGAATAGAAATAAATAAAATTCACAAAAATGTATATTAAAAGTTAAATATGATTTTTTAATTCATTCATTCGCCTTCGGCTTAGTCCCTTATTTATCAGGGGTCACCACAGCGGAATGAACAGACATACATTCCAGAATATGTTTTACGAAGCAGATGACCTTCCAGCACTGGGAAACACCCAAACACTCTCACATTCACACACACTCATACACTACGGCCAAATTAGTTCATCCAATTCACCTAAAGCACTGATCTTTGGACTGTGGGGAAAACCGGAGCACCCGGATGAAACCCACGCCAATACGAGGAGAACATGCAAACTCAACACAGAAACGCCAACTGACCCAGCCGGGACTCAAACCAGCGACCTTCTTGCTATCCACTGAGCCACTGTGCCATTTTATAAGTCAATATTTGATAATTTATAATTCTTCCTGGTAATACCTTTATAAAAACATCCATTAAAGTGTGCTTTCATTATAAAAAAATCTAATAAAATATGTTTTATTAGATATCCTAATATAATTTTTTATTAATATCCTAATAATATCCTAAAAATATCCTAATGAAATATGTTTTAAAGGTAAGAGCAGCTTGACAGTAATTACATGTTAGTGGTGCATCATTATTCAATAACAGCAAATGAGTCAACCTAGAGTGACCAATTCAGCATCTGGTATAAACAGTCTGTACAAGCCTGGTCTCAAAAATAACATTTGAAAAGTGTCTTTCATGTATATTTGGATTGATGTAGTTGATTATTTATGCAGCCGTTATATTCATCTATTAATAAATGGGTCATTTTTGACACATCAAGCCATAATGTTTATATAATGTAATACAATATAACACGCAGTGGGGGAAATAAGTATTGAACACATCATGATTTTTCCTGGCAATAATATTTCTAAAGGAGCCGTTGACATGGAATTGAACCAGATTTTAGTAAAAACCCAAACAATACAAACATAAAAATAAACAAAACAAACAAATCTGGAAGATGAGTTGTGTGTAATAACAATAGAATGACACAAGGAGAAAGTCCTGTACTACTAAAACCTATTTAATACTTTATATAAAGGCTTTTTTTGGTGATGGCAGCTCAAAGACGCCTCTCATATGGAGAATGAAGTCACATGCACTGCTCAGGTGCAGTATGAGTTTTTCACAGACTTCAACAGAGTGTAGAAATCCTGATGGTTTTGTGGGTCTCGTCTATCAAATCTGATCTGCATTTTGCATTTTCTATTGGATTTAAGTTAAGGTGATCGGCTGAAACATTTCAGCAGCTTTATTTTCTTTCTCTGAAAGCATTCGAGAGTTTCCTTTTCTGTGTTTTGGATCATGGTCTTTCTGAAATGTCAACCCTGGTTTCATCTTCATCCTCCTGCTGATGTAGATGTTGAACAGAATCAGCTAATAGTCATTTACGCCGAGGAAGTGCAGAGGGTTTCTGAAGAACTACTGAGAGATTTCAGCTGCTGCCTGGGCTTTCCATGCCTTTCCACACCTCCCTTTCTTCATCTGTTCAATAAATTCTCCCTGTGTCATTTTATTTTATAACACGGAAATTAATTTGTTAACTAATTAGATCTGTTTTCTTTGCATCTTTAGCACCTTCTGTTTTGCTTTAGCACCTTCAGAAATATGTTTTCTGGGGAAAAAAAAAAGGTGACGTGTTCAATATTTATTTTTCCTACTGTAGTTACTAGGAGTACAATAATACAGACTTCAGTTTTCGGTTTTAGGATTATGGTTTCGGTACAGGTTAGTAAAGAACGACAATCTCCAAAAAAAATAAATAAATAAATAAAATAAAATTTTAAAAAATCTACAAGCAAAATGCAATGCAAAATTAATACAATATAGCAAAAATACTTCTAAAATAAGCAATGAACACCGTTAAAGATTGTATATTTATAATTTACTTCAGAATATGTGTGACTGAAATTGCTACAACTAAACAACAACTACTAAATTACATTTAAATAAACAAATTAATTGATTTAAATGTTATAAATTAAGTATTAATTAATCCAATTAATACTTAATATGCACTTAACGTAACCAAATGACCTCATTAAACCACTGAAATCACCAAGAAATGTTATTTTCTCTACTAATTGAATTAGTGGACAAATCACTAATTGATTAATGTCAGGGGCTTTTTTTAGAACTACTAACCATTGAGCGAAATGTGAAAGCGCACTTTGTTTTCAGAGCGTTTGCTAAAAGCTCAGACAATGGGCCTTTGAGGCGACTAAGTCAATGCTAGTTTTTAAACGAAATAGCTTAGCTGTTCAATGTCCTTTCACATCGACTCATTCATTCACAAATCTGAAATGCCCTCTGTTAGTGGTCTATTTCAGAGTGCGCCGTGAGCAGCTGCTCATTTGGAAACAGCAAGACACTTTGTAAAGCTAAAACAAGTGCTGACATTTTCCCCTCCTCTATTTAGTAAGGCTCACAGCGAAGTACACTGGATCTCCGTTCGAAACTCTGTCCCAGAGGACACGAGTGACCTTTACCGGCACTGTACTGTCCTCTTCACTGTATTTACATCAAGACATGCACACTGAGGAACAGTAGACCTCAGATACATTTAGGACTGCGCATCTAAAGGGCTACTCTTAATGGTTTTAAGAGGAACTAAATTAAATAAAGAACAAATGATGACGAAAAAAAACACTCAGAATTTTAAAAGAATAGTGTTTTGAAAAAAAGTAAGTCATTAGGAATTTGCATCTCATAACCGTTATAAATATGACTTGTCTTTTTTCAGAGCAATCGAACCGTCTTCACTGGTGTTTGTTTGCAGAAAAAGAAAGAAAGATTTAGATGACAAATTTAAGAATTTTGAATGTAGTGCAGAAAATGAACAAGTTAACTGAACAAACGGCAAGAAACTGTATAACAAATGGACAGACAGCAGAATGGATGGACTGAACAATAAATGAACGGATGGGACAACAATAAATTGATGGATAAATGGATGGCCAAAACAATAAATTCATGGATAGGTGGATGGATGAATGGAAGGAGAGAAAAAAATTGATGAATGATGGATGGATGGGTAGATCGATGAACAGAACGATGGATGGATGGATAAAAAGAACAAATGGATGGATGGATGGACAGAACAACAGATAGATGGATGGGCAAAACAAATGGATGGAGGTTAGACGGGTAACACATGGATGGATGGAAAAACAAATGGATGAATGAATGGACAGAACAAAAAAAATGGATGAATGGATGGATAGATGGATGGACTAAACAAAAAATGGATGGACAAAACAACAAATAGATGGATGGATGGACGGAAGAAAAAAATGGATGGATGGATGGATGGATGGACTGAACAACAAATGGATGGATGGATGGATGGACGGAAGAAAAAAATGGATGGATGGATGGATGGATGGACTGAACAACAAATGGATGGATGGATGGATGGATGGATGGATGGATGGATGGACTGAACAACAAATGGATGGATGGATGGATGGATGGATGGACAGACGGAACAAGAAATAGATGGATGAATGGACGGAACAAAAAATGGACGGATGGATAGACAGGATATCAAATGGATGGATGGATAGACAGGATATCAAATGGATGGATGGATAGACAGGATATCAAATGGATGGATGGATAGGCAGAATAACAAATGGAAGGATGGGTGGACGAAACAACAAATGGATAGATGGATGGATAGATGGACAGAACAACAAAGGGATGAATGGACGGACAGAACAACAAATGGATGGAGGATAGACAGTTCAACAAATGGATAGATGGATGGATGAATGGATGGACAGAACAACAAATGGATGGATGAATGGACAGAACAAAAAATGGATGAATGGATGGATAGATGGATGACTAAACAAAAAATGGATGGAACAACAAATGGATGGACAAAACAACAAATAGATGGATGGATGGACGGAAGAAAAAAAATGGATGGATGGATGGATGGACAGACGGAACAACAAATAGATGGATGGATGGACGGAACAAAAAATGGACGGATCGATGGATGAATAGGCAGGATATCAAATGGATGGATGAATAGGCAGGATATCAAATGGATGGATGGATAGGCAGGATATCAAATGGATGGATGGATAGACAGGATATCAAATGGATGGATGGATAGACAGGATATCAAATGGATGGATGGATAGACAGGATATCAAATGGATGGATGGATAGACAGGATAACAAATGGATGGATGGATAGACAGGATATCAAATGGATGGATGGATAGACAGGATATCAAATGGATGGATGGATAGACAGGATATCAGATGGATGGATGGATAGACAGGATATCAAATGGATGGATGGATAGACAGGATATCAGATGGATGGATGGATAGACAGGATATCAAATGGATGGATGGATGGATAGACAGGATAACAAATGGATGGATGGGTGGACGAAACAACAAATGGATAGATGGATGGATAGATGGACAAAACAACAAAGGGATGAATGGACGGACAGAACAACAAATGGATGGAGGATAGACAGTTCAACAAATGAATAGATGGATGGATAGATGGACAGAACAACAAATGGATGGATGAATGGACAGAACAACAAATGGATGGAGGATAGATGAATCAACAAATGGATGGATAAATGGAGGGATGAATGAATGGATGGATGGATAAAACAATAAATGGATGGAGGATAGACAGAACAACAAATGGATGGATGGATGGATGACAGAACAACGAATGGATGAAGATAGATGAAACAACAAATAGATGAATAGAGGATAGATGAATCAATAAATGGATGCATGGACAGCAATAAATGGATGGATTGAGAGATGGATGGATAAACAGAACAATGGATGGATGGACAATTTTGAAATTGTTGTCATTTTCTCTCCTTTGTCAAAGCACTTAAACACTGATAACTGCTGCTTGCCTGAGGTAAAGTCTAGCTCACTTATAATCCAACATATAACACACTCACACAGTGAATATAACTCTCCATCCCCTGCAAAGCTAGTGAGCCATTTTTGGTGTAATGTTCAACCAGCTGAGTGGCCATGTAAAGGAAAGTCTCACCATAATCTGAATCTCCATCTTGCATACTTGAAGGTCGTGTTCGTTGTTGACATACATTCTCTTCAGTGCACAGCGCACGCCCTGATGAGTCCTCACCAGAAACACGATAGCAAAACCACCTGCGGAAAGACAAACCAACAGTCTGAAAATCTTTAAACAGTCGAGCTACTGAGAGCTTACATGCACAGAGAGGCAAATCGATCTCATTTGCGATTCAACAAATGTAACACAGTATCTCCAGGAACACAGACAAGCTTTGTCCAGGGACATAAGGAGGTATTGAACACTTCGGGCCCTTTCTGCTATCAGAGCAACCGTCAGGAGACACAAACAGATTATAGACAGGTTAACCTCTGTTTAATTATGTCATGTTTGACTGTTAAAGTAAGTCTGAAGCTACATAAAAACTTTGCCTGTGCAAACAAAAAATAAAATAAAAATGAAATGATAAATGAATTGGTGGTGCATGGCAAAGCAAGCATCATTGATTGCTCATACTTTGGCACAGCAATTATATATAAAAATGAAAGGAATTAATCTACTTGTGAACAAAATAATATATTGATGCAAGTTCCTCCTTAAATACACTTAAAGTCAGAATTATTAGCCCCCCTAAAATATTAGCCCCAGTTAATGTTTTCCCCCAATTTCTATTTAACGGAGAGAGAAGATTTTTTTCCACACATTTCTAAACATAATACTTTTAATAGCTCGTTTCTAATGACAGTAAATAATATTTGACTAGATATTTTTCAAGACACTTCTATACAGCTTAAAGTGACATTTAAAGGCTTAACTAGGTTAATCAGGTTAACTAGGCAGGTTAGGGTAATTAGCCAAGTTATCGTATAACGATGGAAAAATATAGCTTAAAGGGGCTAATAATATTGGCCTTAAAATGGTGTTAAAAAAATTAAAACCTGCTTTTATTCTAGCAGAAATAAAACAAATAAGACTTTCTCCAGAAGAAAAAACATTATCCGACATACTGTGAGCATTTCCTTGCTCTGTTAAACATCATTTGGAAAATATAAAAAAATAATAATAATAAATCAAAGGGGGGGCTAATAATTCTGACCTCAACTGTATATTACAGATTCAGAACAAAATTAACTTCCCTCCATGCGAGAGGAGTGAGACACAAACTCACGGTGGGCCATTTATATGGATACACCTTAATGAACTTATTGTTTCACGTCCGCCATTTTCAGCGTGTGAGTCAAAGCGATATCACTAAAGGAACACCCTTGCTCTATTTTAAGATGTAAGGCTCATTGGGCTCAACACAAGATCTATATTCTCCACATGATCGCTCTAATCGGAATTATTGTTTGTACCTTTTGGTAGGTTTGCAAACATGTGTACTTTTCATTGCGTCTACCTTGAACTTCAGCCGTTTGCATTTCTCGAACACAGAAGCTCCCTGTGATCTTAGGTGCAGCTGGAAAAGTGCAAACGCGTAGCTCTCTCTATTGGAAATAAAATAACAAACTTGCCTGCAGAAGTGCCTCTCTGCGTGGCGCGGTGTCGTGCATTTCGGAGTTCTGCGCGTGGGTTTCTGTCGGGGTGCACGCGGCGGCGCTTTGGGTTGGCGGCTCGACTTGAGGCGCCGTTGTGTTTGCCCTGGTGGAGGACTGTGTTTGGAGTTCTGGAATGCATGGCGCGACGATTCGGGACACTTCATGTTTCTGCCGCGCCACTGAGAGTGTCTGGTGTGCCGTGTCACATCGCATCTGGTGCCTCAGTCAGAGTTAATTTAGTGTGCGTGGTTTATTAGTCTCGGTGTACAACCTCGGCACTTGAAACTAGCACACAGTTGGCTGTGAAACTATACAAAGACACAAATGATTGTGTACTCTCTGCTTGGTCTATGTCAGAGTCATACATGTACGGCTGAATGCTGTGAATGATTTTAAGGGTTAAGGGGAAGGGGCACGAAAATAGAATTGGGATTGGGCCAAAAAGTTGATTCTTGCATACTAAAATTGTACGTTCACACCAGACATGGATAAAGCGTCAAGCATGAGTGCTTTACATGTTAAGTCAATGCAAAGACACAATCAGACATCCTGTGGTGATATTCGCGCGAATGATGTGAATGGAGAAAGTGACGCATTGCGATTTTAGCATTTTAGGTGTTTGACGTGTTTAACGCGTTATTTGTTAGTTTAATAATCGGAACTTTGGTGGAAATTTGTGCTGTGTTACCCAATCAGGAGCTTGCTCTAGTAGGGGCGTGATTATGATGTAGTGCCTATAGTTGGTAGGGGTGGGCGATAGGAAAAAAAAAAATCATATCACAATTTTTTCTGGGAAAATCACAATTCATGATTTTTATCCTGATTCTTTTTCAAGCTGTTTTTTCAAAACTATTTTGCAAATTACAAAGGTACAACACAACCTACCTAATGTCCCCATATAAAAATACACTCTTACCATGTAGGTTTAAGAATAAATGAAGATACATTGATTTTTCTGAAAAAGTGGATCATGCAATAATTTTGATCGTATACGGTTAAATATCGTGTTATCGCTCAGCCCTAATAGTTGGTGTCTTGAGAGAAAATCCTTCTGCTGAAACAGGACAACAGCTCATCAAAATGGGACCAGCTCAGTCGGAAGTACCGCTGAAAGTGTCCGTCAACAGCTTCTGAGGGGCTTGATGTAATGTAATGTGTATTTATATAGCGCATTTATTGTGTATGGCCATACATCCAAAGCGCTTTACAATCATGAGGGGGGTCTCTCCACACCACCACCAGTGTGCAGCATCTACTTGGATGATGTGACGGCAGCCACAGGACAACAGCGCCAGTGCGCTCATCACACACCAGCTATTGGTGGAGTGGAGAGACAGTGATCAAGCCAATTCCGTGGAGGAGGATGATTGGGAGGCCATGATCGTGAGGGCCGATAGAGGGACTTTGGCCAGGACACCGGGGTTACACCCCTGCTCTTTCACGAGAAGTGCCATGGGATTTTTTAATGACCACAGAGAGTCAGGACCTCGGTTTAACGTCTCATCCGAAAAACAGCGCCCACTGACAGTATAGTGTCCCCTTCACTTTTACTGGGGCATTAGGACTCACACAGACCACAGGTTGAGCACCCCCTGCTGGCCTCTCTAACACATTGCATCTCTTCATTGCATCTTACGCACAAAAATCAATTATTTTGAAGAAAATCAGCAGCACAATGGATGAAATAAAGGCCCAATCCCAATTTTACCTCTTAGCAATTCCCCTTACCCACTTCTCTTAAGCTTGAAGGCGTAGGGCAAAGGGGAAGGGGTGAATAGCCATTCGAATGTAGATTTTTTAGGACCACACTCAAAACCAAGGAGTAAGAAAATTTCCTAGAATACACCAGTGAAACAGTGTGAAACAGGCTTTAGACAAAGCACTGAATGAATCTACGCTGTTTTTCAGCCTTCCTAAAGCACAAAGCACAGCTACTCTCTCAATAAAATCCATGTTAGCCATTAAGCAACAAACTGGAATCAGCAGGCATAAAGCAGCCCCACTCATGATGACACGATGTTACATCTATTGTGAAGTGAATTTCACACACGAATAAAACAAATTGTACGTAGGAATGAACAGAGTAAACTCTAAATCAGGGGTCACCAATCTCGGTCCTGGAGGGCCGGTGTCCCTGCAGGGTTTAGCTCCAACTTGCCTCAAAACACCTGCCTGGGTGTTTCAAGTATACCTAGTAAGACCTTGATTAGCTCGTTCAGGTGTGTTTGATTAGGGTTGGAGCTAAAATCTGCAAAACACCGGCCCTCCAGGAACAAGTTTGGTGATCCCTGCTCTAAATGTTCACACGTCTAATTACAAATGAATAGCACAATCTATTTGCACAAGCCACTTCTACTGTGAACAGCCCATAACAAACTGAAGTATGAAGTATAAAGGATGAGTTAAAATTCCAAAAATGATAAGCAAAACAAAAGTTTAGTTTCAACACACACCAACATATTTACGGGAACAAATATATGCGCCACAAATATCTTTTACAGCCACCACGTGTCTTCAGACTTAGGCCGTACTCGCACTAGGTACAGCTGCCTCGAACCGGGCCAAAGCACACTTGTCCCCCCTCTCGTCTCCCCCGACGGCCCGCACTCACACCACAAACGGGCTTCGGCACGCTTACGTCATCGCTGCTGCGCTGTTCAGTGAGAAGCGCTCTCACTCAGCAGCACAGTGAAGATTTCTCTAGTTATATTGTTTCAGTCGTTTGATATGCCGTCAAATATTTCGCCAAACAGTCCTCAGGGATGCGGGGACACGCAGTCAGATATTTCGCCGAACAGATCCGCCACTTTTGGCGCTCATAAACAATCATAAAGCTCTCGTGCTGCAGAAATGAGGTCTGCTGAAGGCGCACAGCTGGCGTGCAGTGAGGGGTTTGCGTCTTTAATAAACGACGGCAGTTTGCATTCACTGAACAGTAAGAATGATTAATAAATCCATATGAAATAGTCTCTTAAAAGTCACGTCTCGCTTTCAGTTTCGGAAAGCCCAAGTGAACCGCGCTCAGGCACACCTCTTCCAACCGAGGCAGGGCCGGCCAAGTGAACCGTGCTTGAGCCCGATTCAGCGCACTCACACTTCTCAAACGATCCGGGAAACGGGCCTGGGCACGGTACGGATGGCATAGTGTGAGTAGGCCCTTAAAGACAGCAACACCCAGCTTCATATAAACCAATCAAGACGGAGATTTTTAGTCCTCCTGCTGATTCAACTCACTTCAAGTTTATTTGTATAACGCTTTTCACATTAATGCTTTCAAATCGATTCCTACATGAAACTCTATATGCCCATATTCAGTACACACAACTCTGTACACACTCTGAGCCCTCCGTCCAGGGTTTTCTTTTGTACATAAAAGCTGATTCAATCAGATAAACGTGCATGTAAAATGCACGGAAAATGCCAATTACTTCCAAAATAACAAACCACGCCTGTGAACTCACAGCAAACCACACACACACACACACACACACACACACACACACACACACACACACACACACACACACACACACACACACACACACACAGCCTTCGGATGAGGTGTGGTGTAGTCGTAAGTAAACTGAGAATGTGATTAT